TATGCAAAAATCAATCAAATCGAAGCATTTTTAAAAAATTGTGTATACAGAGTGATCCAAATGAAAAATATAAAAATACAATGTGTTTAGAAGATCGTTTTATAAAACTAAGTTATAATAGTGTAAATAGTTTACCTTTTAATTTTAAAAATCAATATAATTTTTTTTATAGATGCTTGATGTCTTTACCTATCATTTGGTATATTTTTTTATAAATCTGATCCTTTATCTGCCCATGGCGGAGGATTTAAAATGACAACTTTTTCACAAAAAATTAACTTTTTCGACTTAACTTTTGAAAGTTTTTCGGAAATTCTGACACTTTTATATATATCTTAAATTAGAGCTTATGCAATATACTTTATTATGGAAAAAAAAAAAATTCGGACTTTATTTTGTCTTTACAGTAAAAATGGCTACCGATGCTATTTTTGTATGAAAATTGTCGATTTTATTTTTTATATTTTTAACTTTATAATGCTATAACTTATTGAAAAGTGTATAGATCAACACTTTTTTTATTCGACATACTTTATCTTAATTACAATAATAATAAGGAAATAGCAAATCATGTAACTTTTGGAATAATCCATCAATTTTAAAAATTAAACACTATCTAAAGACTTGCATCGAAGCGTTTTTTATGATAGTGATTGTAATCACTGTCAGATATCATTATACTTAACATAACTATACCACGTCACCACTGTGCCGCGATCCCCCTGTGCTGGGTTTTTTAAAAATAAATAATGAAATGTGTTATAATATATTAAATACCTCTATTTATTATTCATTTTGCATGTATTAAATTAAAATTAAATGTAAAAATTGAATATTATAATAATTTTAGAGATATAGCTTTGACAAAATTTGGTTTAGACTGTTATTTATTGTTCTACTACATATTTTGTAGCTAACCTGTCTTTCTGTTTTTGAATTCGTTCAAAAATATTCGAAAAAATTAATGGAAAATTGAATTGGTATAATTAATAGCCTAGCAAGAAAAGTTCTCGTTGATGGAGCTAATAGGTTTTTAGTTAAAAAAAAAACAAAGGTCCATGTATAATAATATAATAACATTCTTTAATTCTTTTTTTTAAAAGGACATATATATATATATAAACAAAAAGGAATGTGCTTCTTATTTAATTAAAAACATATAAAAACAAAACAAATCAGAAAAAAGGATAGAGGAAGTTGTTAGGGGGTTACATTTCGTCGAAAAATTTCTTGAGGTTCGGCAACAAGCTTAACGCCCCATCGCAATTTACGACTGACTGCTCAACCTATCATTTCTTAACGTTACTATTTTAAAGAAAAATGGAGAACAAAATAAAAAAATTACTGCAACTTAGTTGATACGCTTGAGAAACAATAAAAAGAGGACAGCAGATTAACTCAACGTTTTATAAAAAAAAAACGAATGACAAAAAAAAAGAGTTTTTTTACCATAAAAACATACAAAAAAAAATAACTTGTCATCTCGGTAGTATAGGTTGAAGAGAGCATAAACATGCAGTCATGGAGTAGACTGGTAGTGATCGTCGGGGATGATGCCGGGTGGTAGTGGTGCCGATTCGAACGAGTTCATTGGAGGAATTACAATATGATACAGGTGCACAGTTTACGGTCAGCTGATGAGAATAAGCCGATTGACAGGTATCGGACCGGTTGTCTAGAGAAGGTTACCATATATAAAACTATTAAGAAATACTTAACACCTAATGCACACATCACTAATTGATAAGATTTATAGAAAGCCAAAATAGTACAAATTCTGCAACATTACAAAGTTTTACAAAAGGTGAGGTGCATGGTTGTGTTTAACAATGTTTTTGTAACAAGCAGCCCCTTAATAATAAAGGGGAATGGCCTATTACTGTGCGATGGTGTTGTTTATTTTGTTGAAATCAAAATGCGGAAATCAGAGGGGATAATAAATAGGTACACCTGCTTATGATTGTATAAATTACGAATTATATTACAGTTCTGCAAATGAAATTCTTAAAAGTAAAGGGAAGGGGGGGGGGTAACTTACATATTATACTGACCGACAAAGCGGCCATGAACAAAATAGATAATATACAAAATAAATAAAACAAACAATTAAACACTTAGCTGTATAAGTTAAGATGGTAATTAATGGTGGTGAGTGTGGACTGTATGTGAGCGTTGATGACGACGTGAACGATGACACTAACTCGTAATATGCGAGAAGGATTATTTTACACGGATATACAGTACAAAACATGTAAGACGCAACCGTATGAGCATAAACAATAAAGATATGGCGAACTATGGCCGACCAATAGCACAAACACGCGGAGGCGTTTGCTGTGAATACGAGAGAAGATAACGCACTACTTAATTGTTGAGGAACGACTATTAGATCGTAGTCGCGAGAACGAGTGTACTGTTTACGTACCAAAGAGGATGTGTCGCTCGCTGAGGAAGTAACGATGATCGGACCAATCATTAACACGTTCGAACCGGTCATACACGAGTGCCACACTCTACCCAACATTTCCTCCCCGAGTTGAAAGTTATACAACTTTTAAAATCTTTGTTGGTGTTTTAAATAACACATAAACATAAAACATTAAAAAAAAAGATAAATACAAAATAAGAATCAAACAATTCATAATACATTAAAAAAAATTATGATTAAAAAACAATTTTATTTTTTTTTGTGAGGTGTACCTTTACATTTAATGGACTGTATGAGAATAAACATTATTATGAGGAATCAAGGATTAAAATAGGGAAATAGTTTTTAACGGTGATCATTCACCTACTGGCAACTTGACTAGTTTAACGACTGGGCGCTTATATAAACCGTCTTGAGTTTTTAATGTCACTACCCGTACTATTCCGTCAGTACCGGGATGTATATGTAAGATTCTACCCATGCGCCAGTCAGTTGGTGGACGATTGGGGGCTTCGACGATGACTAAATCGCCCACCTTAAGGTTGCCGTCAGATTTTGTCCATTGTACACTTATGAATAAGATCCTGATATACTTCCACATACATTTATAACGTGGTGTGCTACTAAGGGGAACACGATACCTTGAAAATTTGATATTTATAATGATTTATAAAAATTAAATTAAATTTTAATATACTTTTTTAAAAAAAAAATCATATAAACACAAATGGATAGTAATATATTTAATAATATTACCTTGTATTATAGAATAATTAAAAAAACTGAGTTTTTAATTTATTTAATAACTATGAATTTTTTTAAAATTAGAAGCTGCTCCTAATTGCAGTAAGTATTAGTAGTAAATTAAATACTAAATAAAAACGAATACGTTTTTTAGACTTAATTATAGAACTTATTATAAATATATTTCGTTAAATGTAAATTAGAGTTTTTCAAAATAATCTGAAAAACTATAAGATTATAACAGCTGTTATCTTATAAATTACATTTTATGAACTAAATCACAGTTAAAAAATAATTAGACCTTTTGACAATTTTCATTTTTGGCATTACAGTAGATGATTCTTTAAGTGAGGGTAAGTTTTATATACAATTTTTTTAGATCATCTTAAATTTTGTATGATTCAATTTTTTAAATCTAAATACATATATTTTATTAACAAAATTTCAAATTTATTTTTTAGTCATAATAACAATCATTAATTCTTAATTGTAAATTAACTGTGTTTTTAAATTGAACTAATTACTTATTTTGTTGTTTAATAAAATAACTTCAAATAATTTAAGACACAGGATTAAGTATGGGTGGTTAAAATGGAGAGAAGTGTTTGGTGTGTTATGAATTCCAATGAGACTGAAAGGTTAATTTTATAAGACTGTAATGAGTGAGAACAGTTATGATTTATGGTTCACAGTTTTGGACGTTTGACAATAAAATAGAGCAGAAAATAAGTGTAGCAGAAATGAGAATGTTTAGATGGATGAGTGAAATGACTAGAGAAGATAGAATAAGGAAAGAACATATAAGAGGGAGTATAGGTGTAACGTTAATCGTAGATACACCCAGAGAAAAACCTCGATCTATATAATAAATTCATTGTTCCATTTGATAAATATATCATTACTATTGAATCTATGATGTATTTATCAATATGATAATTTTTTTTCTTGTCTTGAACAATAATTATTTATAAGAATAGTTATTTTGTTTGTATTAATAAAACGTTCTCATAAATCCTTGATAAAATTTCTCTATCAAAATTGATTGAGGTTTTTCTTTGGGTGTAAGATGAGAGAAAATAGATTTAGATGGTTTGGTCATGTTATGAGGAGAGAAGAATCAGAAGCTGTAAGAACAGTTATAGAAATTAATGTTGAAGGAAAAAGAGATAGAGGAAGACCAAAAAAGAGATGGACGGATGTTATTGAATGCGATTTGAGGACAGCTAATGTGAGCGTAAATAATGTGGGAGATCATGTTAAGTGAATGTTTAAGATAAGGGTAGCCGAACCCAAGTAGTTGGGATTAAGACAATAAGAAAAAGAAGAAGAAGAACTTTGATGAATTTAAGAAATAGCTGCGATTTTTATTTTTAAGTAAAAAAATTGAATTTGTTACATTTTATTCGGAATATTAGCTTCTATTAGAGCTCATCTTTGGGTGAGTCGCACTATGAGTTATATTGTCTGTTAAAAACTGAACATATATGAGTTTTAATTTTATGAATCAATTTAAATTTTTGTTTTTTATGGTACCAGTACTTCCAAACAATAAATATTAGTTATTATGAAAACTTTATAGGTTCGTTGAATAATTATTATGATGTTATTATTAAATAAATACAAAATTTAAGATAATGTTAATATTATTTTTTTAATGCCTTTATCAATAATTTATAAATAGATGAGGTCGTTCTTATTGTTACTTTGTAGACATATTAATTTAGTTAATAGTTTGAATGTAATAAAAAAGCTAACAAACACGCTTTTAAAGCACATAGAACTATTTTATATAACTTTTTAGTTCCACGTTGCAAACATACAAATAAATATACAAACAAACATACACACAAGTGAAACTAATATAAGCGTATTAAAAATATAAATATATACACCCAATATACATTACACTGGCTCTATTATATGCGCTGTGCGCCACTTGCGCAACGTTTGTATAGTTTTTTCAGAGGAACAAATACTGATATTACGATGAAATACAATAATAACAAATCGAAAGAACCCTTTAAATTTACTTATGTACTCTTATATAGAGTGATTTTTTTAACTCTGGCCACTCAATTTCTCTTAAAATAATAATTTTATTTTTGTTTTTGTCAATTACCTATGTATCAACATTTATCTGTTATAAAACATTTATATGTTCACCCCTTATGTATTATTAAAAAATTGAATTGTGAGAAAGACTTTCTTATTCATATTAAAATATATAACTATATGGTTTATATTTGTGTTTGTCGTTAATTTTTCTCAGCTCTCACTTAACCAATTTTAATGACCAATACGTTAAAATAACACGATTATAACTTGTTGAATATAAGTTCAATAATCGCCAAATATTGTAAAAAATTCTTTAATTTTTTAGATTGATATGTGATCAGAAGCTATTAAAATTAAACACTATCTACAGATTTGCATCGAAGTATTCTTATGATAGTGATTTTAATCACTGTCAGATATCATCTATATATTCCAACAATGCCACGTCCACACTGTGTCGCGACCCCACTGTGCTACCGTTATAATTATTTTTTTTAACGAATTTAGTTTAAAATTTAGTCGCTCTCTAAATTTTTAAAACATACAATAATTTTAATTTTAAAAATTGTATTAATATGTTAAATATTATAAACTCTCTGAATAGGAGATTTTATAGGCGCGGTTCTATAAGAAAAAAAAATTTATGGGAGCTTTTTTTCACTATTTTTGTTAAAGTGAAAGCTATTTTTAAAAAGAGACTTTTTAAAAAAAATATTCTATTTATGGAGGGCAATTGCTTCTATGGCCTCCTACTATCCAGCCGGTGAGACAATTTATAAACGATCAAATTTATTTCAAAAACGATTTATTAATGGATAACAAACGTGTATCAATCTTTTAGCATATATTTAAAAATATTCTTCAAAATGCTTACATTGAATTTTTACTAAAATTTTTGTTGGATAAATAAAATTTAATGTAAGGGTAAATACTCAAGAAATACAGATTTCATCTTCTAATCGGAACATAATTCAAGGCATTTTTTCTAATTTTAAATAAAGATCTTTCAATTAATCAATTAATTAAATATTAATTTACAGAAAATGATGATGGTATTACTATTTTTTTTTCACATCATATATTTAATACTTTTATTCATAAATGATGTGTATATTTTAAAATTTAAAAATTAATAGAAAAAAAAACAATAATTTTGTGTTAATCATTTCATAACACAATAAAAGTTTAAAATCACTTGCTAAATTCGTACATTACTTTAATTATAAATGTCTTAGAAATTTTTGGTTCATTATTCATTATAGATTATTACACTGCATCTGAACAAGAAGAGAATGATGATGATGATGGTAATTCTGCTGTAAGCTATGGTAAGTATTATAAGTAAAATAACTAAATGTTATATAGTTATTTAATATTATTTTTTTTATTCGCAATTTACATTTTAACGGAATATAATGAACTATGTGTAATAATAAAGCAGAGTGTAGAAATATAATTTGAATGTTCTATTTTAAAGGTAAAGGTTCTAAAAATGAGATTTTGCTTAACTTCTTGACTGATATTGCATTTGGGTTTTGTATTGCGTCTGTCTATGTATATAGGGGCGAGGTGATTCATTCAGTCACTACCTAAGTGTTGATGTTTAGTTGCGCAATTTACTGTTAGTTCCCTAATTATAAACCATACGGGACTTCAACAGTGACATAAGCCATATTGGTTACCTCAACCATAATAATACTGCAATGCAGCCGATGTAAAATTCTGTTAAATCGTAAAGGCAGAACTGACCACAAATAATTGAGATAGAGGCTATCGAGATGATGATTTATGTACTTTTGTTCCATTATAACGTGGGAATGGAAGGGTAAATATTTAATTAATTACTTATTTAACGTACCATTTTAGATTCGTACACTGTCTGTTTTTTACTCGAACTTGGACTCGCAACCCGTCCAAGCCAACTGACTTTTGTTTATACTGTTAGGAGCGTGTTTAATAGTTGAGGATCTTGGTAAATACCAAAAATCGGAAGCTACCCGACGTCAGCCCAAATATTATCCCTATCTCCTTAAATGAGTTTTAATCATCTGAAGGAGACACAGGCAATCGTGTACCTTAGTTACAGGGTATGGATTATTAAATAAAATTAGATTATTGTTTTATGTCAACGACAAAGTAAAGTAATATTTTAGATGTTCAGTAAATATAAGTTATATGTAATGTACAATACGTCTGACCTGAATCCAAGTACAGTTGGTTAGTAGGTATATCCAAGTGAAACGGAGTTGGTTGGTTATGATGAAAATTGGCGATAGACGGGTCGTTGAGTAAAACAAGTTAAGTTATAAACAATATAAATAGGACGATAGTAATAGTATTGAAAAACTATGTCTATAACGGCAACTTGAACACAACTGCCTTTGTTAGTTCGATATCAGTAGCTCCGGGCTACAGACGACTAGAATTGTCACATCAGAATCTCCCTCTGTGCTAATTAATATGTATTAAAAATTAAGTAAATGCAAATAAAACGTGTATAATATAAGTGGTAAGAACATAGTAATAAATGTTCTTACAGTACAGTACTACAAAATATTTATTCCCCTTGTTAAATTCTATGAAATTTCGTATACCTAATCAACAAATGACTTAAGCGAAATTTTTGATGGGCTTTAATCTCATGGTCCCCAGGGCGTTCTCCCTACTTATACGATCTTGTTCATCAAACGTTTAATGGTATCACTGGGTTGCTCAATTATAACTACGATGTAGAGAAGATATATTTTCTAATCGCAATCATAACTAAAAATCGATATCAGCACTGTTAATATTTTGAATAGGTAGTTCATGAATCAAGTAGTATCATCAAAACAAAATTCAATTAATAATAATCTGGTATTAGTCTTAAAAAATAGTTAGATTATAAAGAATATTTTTCATCTTAATAGTAAGTTCTGGGTTCTTATAACCCATGGTTGAACCAACTAATGAGACTTTTCCGTCGGTGTACTTCTAAATACTTTATTTAAGTAATGTATAATTATAAAATCGGTCAACACCATAGGGATATATTAGTCTGTCTGACTATTACTTACTAAAAGATCATCGATTACTGTGAAATCAATAAATATTGTTTAACATTAATTTCTTGGAAAAAATATTACATTCTGATTACCAAAATTAACGGAAAGTAAAATAAGAATAAAGTATGTAATAAAAATTTACATGCTTTTATTACATATTCATATTTAGACATATAATTATTACATACCCAACAAAGTACGATAGGCATTTTTTTTGTTTTTTTTCTATATTAAATTGAAGATTGACGTAAATGAATTAAGTACTCATTATTGTTTATTTTTAAACCTTATTAGTGAACTGAATAATTGGAATTAAATGAAATTAATTCACATTTCCCATCACTAAATGACAAAGTTGAGTGGGAGATCCGACAACAAGAGGTTCGACTGCCGCGTGTGTATAAAAATGCACTTTTTTAATATTTTTGTATTTTGTAAAAATTCTGAATTTTATACTTCATAATTTTCGTTCTATTGAACCAATTTGAATAAAATTAGAAAATGGCACTTCTCATTAACATTTGTTATGTTTTGACATAAACTAAAAGTTAATTGATTCAGTAGTTTTATAATTTAGCATAGCCGAAGAAAATAAGCCATATTAAATGCGTATATATGGAATTGTTTTTATTGGAGAAAGTATACAGAATAATCGGTTTACTCGATTACTCACAAAAATAATACTATATTGAAAAAAAAGTTTTGTTTCTTTTAGTTACATGTATTTTTGATATAACAATTATTAATTACTTCTTAAAATCATCCCTTAAAACTTATTTGAGTGTCAACTTTATTTTTTCGAATGAGAAGATATATTATTAACTAACATATTTAAAAATCTAATCAAGAAAATGACTGTTCATAACAACTTTTGGACCAGTATTTCAGAAGTTATAAAAAATATAAAGTAATGGCTGGAAGTGAAGAGTGGGTACTGCTATTTTTATCATTACACATTTCTCAGAAACACTTTTCAATCCCGTCGAAGTATAAAATGTTAATAACTTTTGAAATACTAGTCCAAAAGTTGTTATCAACCAGTCATTTTTCTTAATTAGATTATTATCTATTAAATATGCTATTTAATTATGTATATTGCCATTTGAAAAAATGACAACAATATATTATATTGTTTTTATTTAAAAGTAGTGTTACATTATTAATTACTAAATATTGATACCTTTAATTTTTGGTAATTGGTAATTGCTTTATTCGTTTTATTATTATTGAATTATTGAAAATAGAAAATGTATAATATTATGTCAAACACATTTCATTTTATAATAACTTTAATTATGTCTCATTTTCATTACAAATGAACTTAACCTTTTTTTGTGTATGTCTGTCATTAAAAATGCTAAAAAAGCAATTTATATCTAGAATACATCATAAGATCACTCTTCCTTTAATAACTCTTATTTCATATTTCATGTTTCTTTAATAAATAATCGCACTAAGATTAAGTATGTAGGTATTATTTCTCTTATCTAAATAAAATAGTTACAAGCGACACCATCGAATATTAAATCATTACATTCTATATATTAAACTACAATTTTCATTGTTCGCAGCTACTAAACGAATGTTAATTTCTTATATATAAATATAAATATATATTATGTTATTTAATTTAGAATGCAGACTTTGTCTTGGAGATTTTAATGGTGAGATCATTACTTTGCCATGCTGTGAATCGAAGTTTTGCAAAACATGTTTCACTCCTTGGATAAAAAAGTCAAAGAACAAACATTGTATCATATGCTTTAAAAATATGCATGAATGTAATGTATTAAAATTTGCATTTAAAATTTAAAATGTTATAAAATGTTAAGAATTATTTATTCAATTTTAATATTTACTAGATAATTAAATGAAAAGATATTTGATGACTATTTAAATTTGATTATCACTAATATTGACACGGTATGTGTTTTCTTCAGCCGCACGCCACGTTATCAATGTAATCAAAAAAATATATCAACCTACATAGTAATTTTGATATATTAATACTGTCAAAATATTTTTATAAACTAGTTTTATACGAAGTATAAATTATATCTTATTGTTGTTCTAAGACATTAAAAACCCTAAAAAGTTGTTTATTATAGTAAGAATATATTTTTATATTACCAATAATATAGGTCAATTTCTAACTTACAAGGGGAGGTAACAGTTGGGTTAGGATGGGAACACTGGTTACACTTACTTTGAATTTTTTGACAATTTTCCCCCTGAAACGGGGAAAAATTACCTTTAAAATTTAAATGACCTTAAATAGTGTTTTTTATCATCCCACTATTGTAGTAACCTATGGGTTAATTAGGAACGCGTGTGTATTTAGCAATCGAAATATGAGGTTCGAATCCTGACGTGTTTACTTTTTGCTTTTTTTTTAATAAATTCATAAAAAATCATGCAAAATATTGCCAAAAGATATTTTTAATAATATTTTAGAAATATATCTTTAATATATTGTAAAAATGTGATACTCGCTACCAAAGTATATTTTGACAATATTGTGAGAATATTTTTAATTATTCTGGTTATATTCTAAAAATATTTTAATATTAAAAAGAAATATTTTATTATCATGTGGGAACATCTAAAACAGAAGTGCATAGTGACTTATTGGTAAAATTTGTCTCTACGATGATATTATTACTGCATCTGATCCGTACTATATTTGTTTTTTTGCGTGTGATTTCCGGTCATGGATATCTATTCAGTTTGATATACAAAGTTTTATTAATGTTGAAGCTTCGTTTGTGTACAACTAAAGTGCTAGTTGTAAATAGTCCTATTTTAAAATGTTATTTATGGAAATAATTAAAAAAATTATTCATTAAAAATATATTTACAGTAAAATTCATCAGTACATTAATTGTTTAAATTCAAAATTATTAATTAAGGAAACTTAACTCGCTTTCTCTATAATAAAAGTTACATCAATTATTAAATTATTTTATACTCAATTGCCTATCATTCTAGCGTGGAAATAATCATACGTTTAGCCATTCTAAATCGAAATTTTATTATTATTGTCATAATTTATTTATAATGTACAGTACGATCTTGATAGTCCGGCACGTTCAGTAATTCGGCGCCCCAATATTATGGTTAAAATTGTTTAAAAATTCATTCTACAGCGCAATTTTCTGGTTGGGTTGTAGTTTGAAAGTAAACAATCATGAAAATACTTGTACATACTTGTACTCTACTCCGTACTACTTTTGTTGTTTAATGTTTTGTTTTCTGTGTTAAAAAATGTGAGTTTCTCGAAATGGAAAATGCATTGCTTACATGGTTTTTACAAGAGCGTGCCTGCCATACTCTTTGTCATACTCGGGAGAAGTTTTACACGGTAAAGCGAAATTTTTTTATTAAAAAATAACAAAAAATAAATGATTTTCTAGCCAATGACGGCTGGCTCGACAATTTTATGTCTTGTGCCAATGCTACTAGCACACACAAGGTTAAATTATTGATGATAGGAAAAGCTAAGCGTCCTAGAGCATTTAGAAACCAGACTCATTTACTAGTGTCCTACATAAACCAAGCGAAAGGATGGGTTACCCGAGATATTTTCAGTGATTGTTTCAAGCATGCATGGAATTAAAAAAAAAACCCAATATTAAAGACGTTGTTTATAACCTAGCCCACAGCTGGAATAAAATCAAGAGCGAGACTGACTATTCAATTCTCATGAAAGAATGTTTGGCCCAACCCTCTGCTTTCATTTCGGACGAGGTGGACGATGTTGACTCCAAGAACTCAACTCAACCGTTAAATTCCGAATTTCTATATGAGTTATCAAAAAAATGTAAGGATGACTTAATTAATATGATGAAATAATTAGAGAGATTTTGATCGATGACAACGACGATGGCGACCAGGAAGTGATGACCAAGCGAATTGCGACCAGCAATGAGGCATTAAATGCATTAAACGTATGTACAAAATGGGCCGAAGAAAACGATGTCCCTAGCTCGGACATAATGATTTTAAAATAAATTAAAAAACTGGGTTTCAATAAAGTATATAACAAGATGAAGAAACAAAAAAAAATTAATCATTATTATTAATAAAAATATGTATGTACATATTGTTAATTATGTAAAATTAGTATGAATACATAAATATAACTTTTTTTTTAAATTGTAATCTTTTTTTTACTAACTATCCCGATAATCCGGCACTTATCCGGTTCCATATGTGTTAAAGTTCACTTATCTTGATTATCGAAATCGTACTGTATATATATATATATATATATATAAGGTCTTCGGGCAAGTTAACTTTGAATTTTCAAATTTACTAAAAATTTTGACCAAATGTCCGCTTATGGAAATAAAAAAAAACTATAAATAATAGACATTAAAAAAACTGGTTAAGTATTTTGTTTTTTTTCTCGCCTTAATCTCAACTACTTGGAGTTGGTCACCCTTATCCTTAACTCTTACTTGACACGATCACCCACATTATCTACGCTCACATCAGACGTCCTCACATCGCACAGTGGAATAAAACGCCGATTTAGGCGGCCAAAAGTATCATTTTTTAAAAGTCACTTAAATTTTTTTTTTTATCAAAACACATTAATATCATACATAAGGGTTTTAATACAAATTTTCAAGGGCATAAGTTGATTTAGTGAAGGTGTAGAGCTATTTTAATGTTATACTTCTAAAATTTATCCGTATTTTCAGTTATTTTGAGTTTATTTTTGTACATTTTTTTTATGCCTTAAAACATAATTTAAAATTAAAAAAATTTTTTATTCCTATTAAAAAAGATATCCTTTTTCAAATAAAAAAGAAAAAAAAAGTTTTTTTTTTATTTTTGTGGAATTGAACAAATTTATACTTAAAAAAAAATTATTAATAATATTCCCTCATAATGATGACAACTATAAAGAAGATGAATTAAATAGTCAATTAAATCATTCATTTTCAGACATGAATTTATCAATAGCATAATTATTTTTTATATGTATAAAACTAAAATATTCATATTTATATATCAATGTAATCGTATAACAATTAATAATAAATAATGACTAATTTTATTTATAAAGTTAAAATCCTGTAAAACATACGATTTTTAGGAAAATATTCGTTTATTCTAGGTAAATGTAGTATGTACAGTTCAAATATTATCGAGCACAAAATTTTTTTTTTTCATAGTATAGCTAATGACTTGCTTTACAAGCCACATGTATGGATTAACGTGTAATTTTGCGTAATTTTTAGTTAATCTCTTTAAACGAGCATACTAGAGACAAAAACAAAAAAATTCGATATGCTCGATATTCGATAGATTCTTTAAAACTACTCATGTAATTTTCTTTACACTTATCCTATATGCTATTTGTGTTTATTTTACAGATTGTATAAATCTTATTTAAATAAAAAAAAATTAATGTATGACGATTTTTGAGTTAGAAATAACGCCAGCTATCGCTTCTGTAATGCACTCATTTGCTTTCAATCTTAGAAAATATTACTACTTCCTTTTATTCGACCTATCTTTAGATTTGATATATATGTGACATTGATTATTAATTTTTTACTAATAATTTTGATATTAGCCAATACGATTTTTATTTTTTAACAATAAATTCAAAGTAATTTACAATATTGTACAAAACAACAATATATAACATCAAGTAATAAACATTACTTGATTTATATTTGGTAGAGCAAACCGTCTACATTTCTTCTTTTCTGCTTCTTCAACTAACCCAACTGCAGGTATGAATATCTAAAAATTCGTATTCCTACAAAATCAGCCAAGGGATATAACTTCAATTAATCAATTCGGAAATTAGTGAACAACACGTTTTAATTAATATTAAATTACTTATATTTTTAAAAATTATATTAATTTATTATAAATTATATTTTATAACTGTATTACCAGAAGTAGACTTACAAAAATTACGTTATATATCAGATTTAGAAAAATAAAGACCACCCTACTATAAATAGTAACAATTATTTTTGTTTTTTGGTATGTTTTAGATTGTGGTTCATGTAAATCAATGATAACTGGTTGTGCTGGAAAAATGTTTTTAACAGCATGTTGTAAAACAAGACTATGTCATACATGTATACAAAAAGATCTAAAATCTTGTCCATATTGTAACAAGACTAAAGGTAATAAAAATTTAAGTAACATTTTCCTATGCCTAGTGTTAAGTTTTTGATAATGAACACTTAATGAAAATCACTGTTTTTTTAAAAGAGTTATAGCAAAATTAAAATAATTGACAAACTTTTATAGAAATTTTGTGATTTCTTACTTTTAAGTTAAATAATTTGTAAAAAAACTGTGAAACATTTTTTTTTTATTATACTTAAGTACTCTGAAAAATCTTTAATTTTATAAAGCTTTATAGAAAACAGATGTCCCAGAATATTTAAAAAAATCGAAAATTAAGTTTTTTTTTTCAAATGCGATTTTGTTTACTTTGACAGTCGATTTCTCATCGAAAAACAATTATTGTCTTTTTCATATTCTATTAATATTTCATAAAAAATAACTCATATGCATCTTAGATGAGAGAGTAAAATATTTCAATAATCTAAAATATCAACACATTAAAGAATATAGTAAAATATCTAATAGTAGGTTCAATGTCTTACAAATTGTGTGTTATGTTTCTGTTTTATTTACTGAACAATGAAATATCTGTTAGATTCCAAAAATTCTGTTATTTTTAGTCTCGATGAGAAGCTGAGAAGGTATTAATTTTACTAAGTTGCTTTTTTTTTTCTATGTTTGTTACCACTTTTTCTCAGCTTTTTCATTTCAATAATTTTATGGGTATATTTGATAGGTTTTACTTTGTGGTGTTATTTTTGTGTTTGTGTGTGTCTATATACGCCATTACTAACACTTAGGACAGTTGTCATGCCAACAAAATATTTTTTATTGAAAATTTTATTATTAACTAACATATTTTAAGATATTGGAGGGCTTCAAAATCATATCTAAATTTTTTTTCATTTCAATAATTGATTATGTTTCAAAAACCTACTTTCTAAAAACTACATCAAATAAACTCTAATACAATGTACTTTAAGATAAAAAAGAAAAACAATCCGAAATCACGATTTTTAGCAGTTATTTAGTCAAAATCACACAATTTTCGGTATTATTAGCATATTTTGAAGCTTATTGCATAGACAAGTGCACCATGTATACAGGCTAATCGATTTATTATAAACTACTAGATTAATTATAAAATAAATACAATAATGAGGAAGAACGGCTAAGTTTTTGGTTACGTATAATTCTTGATTTATCAGCTAATAATTATTTTTTAAAAACATCCCTTAAAACTAAAAGGGATGTCAACTTTATTTTTTCAAATGACAAGGTATATAATTTATTAGCTTATTTAATACATAATGACATAACTAAAAAAATTACTGGTTGATAACAACTTTTGGACCACTATTTTTGAAGTCATTATCAATTTAAAGTAATAACTAGAGAGGTGAGGTATGGGTGCAGCTATTTTTATCACTAGTTATTTCTTGACCGTACTCTTCTCCTCGCCCAAGTATAAAAATGAGATTGGCATGTGATAAAACAAACACTCAACATACACCATTCAAAGCTAGTACTAATATAATGTCTTATTAAGTACTATTAATTAAATAATAAAAGACCTTTCAACGACTTTTAGCTTAAATGCGAAGCTGAGAAGGTATTAATTTTACTATAATGTGTTTTTTTTTATTATTTATTTATTTATTTTTTTTGTGTCTGTTACCACTTTTTCTTAGTTTTCACCGAACCGATTTCTTCCAACAATACGTTAAAATATCACAAATCATATCTAGTTGAAGACATTACACTCAAAAACTGAAAAAATTTCCTTCGTTCCCCGTAAATGGGGGAAACCTCCAAACAAATTACAAATTTAAAAATCGCTAATTTTCGAAATTTTTTCAATTTTTTTTACTTAAAACTGCCATAACTTTTTCAAAAAATAAAAATCAATATATATATATAATGGGGTTATAATCTATAACAATAATATTTTCTAATAATAATAATAATAACAACTGGTTNATAATAATAATAATAACTGGTTTCTCTGTAAAACAAAGTTATTTATTAATAACAAATTTTATTTAAATTAGTATTATTACATTACCTGTAAAACAAAGAAACAACAGATTAAGTTTATTATTATAATCTTTAGTGTTATTTAAAATTTACAAAGAAAGTAGTTTGCTTAATTAATAATTTTTAACAATGATTTGTTTTAATTAACATGTTTTTGTGTTATCACACTTTACACTTTCTTATCATCTTATATAGATAGAAAATACTTTCTTTACATATATACATATTTATTTTAATAAATGCATAATGTCTTTACCTATCATTTGATATTTTTTTGTTATAAATTTGAACCTTTACCTGCCCACAGGGTGGAATTCAAAATGACTACTTTTTAACAAAAAATTAACTTTTTAAAGTGTTCTGGAAATACTGACACTTTTATATATACCTTAATTATACACAGATTATAACTTTGTATGATTAGTAACATATTATAATTATAATTAAAAAATTAATTATTATTAATTATTTAAATAATTTGTATAAATATTTTCTGATTTTAGTAAATTTTATAAATATTATAACATAGTTAAAAAAAGTATTTTCCTTGATACTTTTTTTTTTAATATTATTTTTTTATTTTTACTATCTTGTAGTACAATGTGTACAATTTAATATATAATTTTTAGATTAATTTTTATTGATTTATAAGTGTAATATATTTAGTATAGAATTTAATTATTTATGTTTTTTATGTATGTTTTTCTACTGTAATGAATTAATTAAGTATTTGATAAAATCATAAATTCACTATAAAAATGTTTGAATATATTGCTAATGTCATATTAAATAATCTATCAAAGGTACCCATCCATCAAATCTAAAATACTTTTTTTAAAAATAATTTAACTATCACTTTCATCAGTCATTCAATCAACTATCATTTTATAATTAATTGAAATTTTAAAAATACAATTTTTAGTGAAGTTTAACAGATTTGAATTAAAATGTTTTTTTATAATATTGGTAAAATTAATATAATTACTTAATAAAAATTATAATTTTCAGATAGTGTCAAATGGAATATAGTATTGTTAAAAACATATTGTTGGAGATGCACACGTAAAATTGGAAAGAACAGTCATTCCCGTTTATGTACTTATTTGTATTGCAATAAATGCTTCAAGAAGAAAATCAATGAAAAGGAAAATTGCTTAGAATGTGGCGAGCCGTTTGTATCACAAAGTTGTATTTCTTTTTGAAGATACCATATAAATATATTTTGTAATAACTCAATATAATGTGTTGGTTTTAATTAATAAAATGTATACAAACATAGTGATTTTATTAACTTAGTCAAGTTTTTTATTATCATCCCATTCATTCGCTTTAGCTATATAATCGAAATACTAAAGACATTTATCGATATCAGTTTCCACTTCGCCCGAATACATTAAAGGTTCGATGATTTTTAGCAACTTTTACCGTTGATGTACTTTACAAGTACGGAAGTACTTGCTAGACTTTGTACCGTGGCGTACGGTATACGGTATTAGTCAAACTACTATATCTATATACACGTAGTTGTGCGACGGCTGTTATAGGTGGCGTTAGGGTGGTCCTTATCTACATAGGTCATTTTTGTTTTTATTAAATTCAATCAGGACGCCCCCTACAATTGTTCTATAGGTAAAAAAAAACCCAGCACAGGGGGGTCGCGGCACAGTGGTGACGTGGCATAGTTGGATCAAGTATAATGACATCTGACAGTGATTAAAATCACTATCAAAAAAAAATTATATTGATATGTTCATTTTTGAAAAAGTTACGGCACATTTTAGTAAAATAAATTGAAAAAATTTCGAAAATTAGCGATTTTTAAATTTGTAATTTTTTTGGAGGTTTCCCCCATTTACGGAGAACGGGGGAATTTTTTTCAATTTTTAAGGGTAATGTTTTCGACTAGATACGATTTGTGATCTTTTGACATATCATTGAAAGAAATCGGTTCGGTGAGAGCTGAGAAAAAGTGGTAACAGACACAAAAAAAAAAAAAACACATCTTAGTAAAACCAATACCTTCTCAGCTTCGCATCGAAGCTAAAATAATATAACATATTTTATAGGAAATACATTTTTAAACAAATTTTATTCAGTAAATTTTTTTGATTCAAGTAAAATTTTACAAGTTATACATAAAAAACTAATTTTTACCCCATACCCAGAGAAAAACCTCGATCTATATAATAAATTCATTGTTCCATTTGATAAATATATCATTACTATTGAATCTATGATATATTTATCATTATAATTTTTTTTCTTGTCTTGAACAATAATTATTTATAAGAATAATTATTTTGTTCGTATTAATAAAACATTATCATAAACCCTTAATAAAATTTCTCTATCAAAATTGATTGAGGTTTTTCTTTGGGTGCAATTTATTAAATTTCAACCCTTCTGCTGCACGTGAAAAAATTGTAATAATACAAAAATAACTAAATAAGGAGATGTTAGGGTGTTTTTGACCAAGATTGGATATTTTGGGGATTTGGTCAATTGGTGAGTAACGAGATTCTATCGGGGTTGTAGAGTCCGAGGGTTTAGAACAATAAAGACAAGTAGATATAAAAAGTAATACAGTTCGTGTTCTACCGCCGACAGTACAACACGTGTGCTCTAAGATAACGTTTTTATAGCTTCCGATAGCACATACCTACTCCACGGCTGGTGTCCACAGGTATTATGATTATTTAACAATTTAATCGCTTTACACAACGCGCACCAATATTCATAGTCGACATGAATAGATCTCCCTCGGGCGGTTCGCCCAAAACCAACTCATCTCTACCAACCAAACTTCTCACCTCTAACAATTCAAATAAAAAAAATACAACACCTATAATAAAAAATATCAATTCATCATCTACAAAATCATATCAACCGAACAAACTCAACTCTAAATCAGCCATGACATTGCACGACAAAAGTTTGCGATTGTCAAACTCGTCTATCAACCATTCCCCACCCGACTCGCCGTCTAAGTATAAACACCAGACCACGTATGTCCGTTCCACCGATAACACATCAGTTTCAGCCGATATCGCAAGTCAATTAACACACAATAACGATTCTCAATCTTCAACTGTACACTCGATTAATCCCACGTCTATTCACACAAATACCGGCATGAACTTCGCTACGGTGACTGCAACGGAAAACACTCCGAGCAGAGAACAAGCGATAGTTTTTAATTCTATTGATGGAATACCTCAAATTGAGTACATATTAGCCATTGGTAAAATAGTTAAACCTATAAACATCATTTTCATTTCGCGTATCTCAAACCAACGTTTCTGTATATTTTTATCCAGTAAACAAGTCCTTGACAACCTAATGCAACAAACACAAACTATAAAAATCAATGACCAATTAATTCAAATACGCAGACTGGTTAACCCGACCAAACGCGTAGTTATATCCAACGTATGTCCGTCAATCCCCAACCGGGCAATATTGGACGCATTAAAACTTATAAATATAAATCCTACAACACAGATTAATCACCTAAAAGCCGGTATCAATATGGAAGGCTACGAACACATCATGAGCTTTCGCAGACAAGTATATATTAACCATGAAGATATACCCAAACTGCCCAGCTCTATGCTAATCTCCCAAAATGATAACCAATTTAGAATATTCTTTTCGGACGACACATTAACCTGTTTTTTATGCAAAGCGGTTGGGCACACATCCAATAACTGCAAAAAAAATTCCGAAAAAAACTCCACTATTGAACCTATAATCAACACTAATTTTACTAATGATATCTACAACACCAAAAAAACACAGCCAATACCTACAGAAGATGATTCATATTCCTTAACCTCCAACTCTCATCTCGATGGAAATCAGATACAGACAATCACGGATTGGTCCTTAGAAACCACTCCCGAGGCACCTCCTTTATCCGATAACTATGATGAACTCCCCTCAAAGTTAACACAAAAGGATACTTACAAAAGACCAATCTCCGATGCATCGTCCCTAAAACCTCCAGATTCTCCAAATGATCATATACCCGCAAACACCATGGTAAAAAAAGAAAAAATAATTAAGAAAGCCAAAATTCGTTCCAGATCAAATTCAGTTAACAGCGTAGACAACACAACTACGGATGAAAATAAAAAACCGATAGAAAAATTCTTTACAGAAAGTGAAAATCTACCTATGTCTTACCTCCAATTTATATATATACTTGACAACTTTACAAATAAATCCCTTAACATCCATTCACTCACCGAAGAGGCAAATATAGACATCACATCTTTAATGGACATAATAGATCACATTCGGCCTCTGGTTAACGACCGTTCATTAAAAAGCCGTTTAACCAAACTTTCAAATCTTCTCTTCCAAGCCCAACTAGTTTCATCAAACTAAGCACACACCACGATACAAACTTATTAGCATGCCTTATATATACACAAATTAAAAACAAAAATAAAAGTGATGAGCGTAAATATCATACAGTGGAACATAAATGGACTTGTTAAAAAAATCAACGATATTAAAATACTAAACCAAATCCACAATCCAACCATTATATGTCTTCAAGAGACAAACTTAAATGACAACTACACACCTCACACAAAGAATTATAACACATACATCTCTAACAGAACACACTGCAGTCGAGCAAGCGGAGGAGTCGCTATATTAACTAAATCAGAATTTCCCAGTGCACAAATCCCAATCCAAACTTCATTAGAAGTGGTAGCCGTAACCATACAACTAGAGACCAAAATTACAATATGCAATATATACATACCGAATCAAAAAAAATTTGAAGCCTCCGACATAGAACACATAATCCAACAACTTCCAACCCCTTTCTATATATTGGGGGACTTTAACAGCCACAGCCCATACTGGGGGTCTGACAAAATCGATGATAGAGGTAAACAAATCGAAAAAATCCTCGAAATCGACAACATCATCCTATTAAACAATGGCGAACCCACACGACTAAACCCAGCCAACGGAACCTTTTCAACGATAGACCTCTCATTATGCAGCGCGTCATTAGCCCAACGAACCATATGGTCAACTCTACCCGAAATATACGACAGCGATCACATACCTATCAAAATAGAATTACTATCAAGCAAAATGCTACCCAAAACATCACATCATAGATGGAAATTAAAAAATGCCAACTGGGAACTTTTCACACAATTGACAGATTTATATATAACCACCAATCCTCCTCCCATAACCGGTCCAATCGTATCCGATGTGAAACACATAACACGCTCCATTATAAACGCGGCCAACGTTTCAATAGGAAAAACAAACTTTTCACCCATCAATAACAAAGTCCCCTGGTGGAATTCTGAAATCAAATTATCAATCAAAAACAAAAACGACGCGCTAAAAATATTCCAAAAATCCGGCAAGATTGAAGACCACATAAAACTCAAACAACTCCGAGCAAAAACCAAATTCTTAGTAAAAAACAGCAAAAAAAAGTCCTGGAAAGAATTTACTTCAACCATAGGACCCAAAAGTGACCCCAGCACGGTTTGGAGCAAAGTAAGATCTCTACGAGGATACATCAGAGAAAAACAACTCCATATCGTAAAAGACAACAACCTACACACAAACCCTATCGAAGTAGCCAACCTAATAGGAAACCACTTCTACCTAAACAGTTCGGACAATAATTTTGACGACTCATTCATAAATAAAAACATCTCAAATAGACAACAACATCTCCAATCAAACATCGACCCAACACATCAAGACCAACAATACCTCAACACACCAATTAGCGAAACTGAATTCAACTTGGCACTATCTAAATGTTCAAGCCTCTCTCCCGGACCCGACGAAATTCCATACAGCTTTATACACAATCTACCAACTTCAGCAACACAATTCTTACTTAACCTATACAACAAAATATGGGAAAACGGTCAAATCCCCAAAGAATGGAAACACGCTATTGTCATACCTATCTTAAAACCTGGAAAGGACAAATTCTCGACTGAAGGTTACAGACCTATATCGTTATTAAACACAATGTGTAAAATTTTAGAAAAGATTATAGATATACGACTTAGATGGTTTCTCGAAAAAACAAATCACTTTTCTCCTCATCAAAATGGTTTTCGCAAACATAGAAGCACATATAATAGTTTACACGACATACACGAGGACATCTCAAAAACACTCGAAGCCAAACAAGTACTAGGTCTAGTAGCTCTTGACATAGCAAAAGCATATGACACCACATGGCGCCCACGAATAATAGAAAAATTACACAAAATACTCTGTCATGGG